GAAGAGTCACTTGAAAAGTGACTGAAGGTCACCTCTAACTTTTTAAATGGAACACCTTATATGCTTTTGCATCTTCTTATATCTCGAGAGAGTTTTCTAAAATATTGTAATTAAGTTAGTTTTCATTAAGTACTTTCCGAGTTATGAGGTTTGAAATCTTAAGAAAAAATGTAATTTGCAATTAACAATTACATTTTTTTTTTCGAAACAATTATGTGTTTTCTTCATACCAATTGATTCCTCTTATTATTTTGTACATAAAAGTATTAAGATAAGAGAATCGAAAAATGTATATTTTACTAGATATTTTATGATTTATATAAAATTGAGAAATTATTTCAAGCCTCATAACTCGGAAAGTACTCAATGAAAAAATACTTTATTATAATATTTTGGAAAGTTGTAAGGTAAGCTACAAGAATATGTAAAAATATGAAGGGTGTCCCATTTAAAAAGTTGCAGATGACTTTTACGTGACCTTCAGATGACTCTTCAAGGTCAAACTAATGGCATCATCTTATGTCCCCCTTCAAGCCATATAACTCTTGTCTGAAACATTTTTTTATATCTTGCTTCGTTTTCGAAAAAATTGCTTGTGTCACTATAAATGCCCCATCCTGTATATATACACAGAGTTTTTCAGGGTAAATGTTCTAACTTGAAATATGAATTTAGGACCTCAAGACAAGAAAAAATTTTCCTCTGAAGGTATGCCCGTAAACGCTTTGTTCAGGAGATATTCACATCTAAACATTTTCATTATAAAATTTTTTATGAAATTATTATCAGGTTATAATAAATAAATTAATAGTGTATTCCAACTACTTTATTACTAGAAAATATGAAAATTTTAACATAATTATAAATTTTGTTCAAAGTAATGGCCTTGAATATTGAGATAGGCTTGGCATCTTTCTTTCACGGCAGCAGTGGCAGAACGGCACTAGACAGCTGTTATTGTTTCAATAATTCTGTACATGTTTCAATAATTCTTCTTCATAAAGAATGTCATTAATCGGCCTTTCATAGACTTTTTATTTAATAGCACCCCAAGTAAAAAATTCAATGGCAAAATCTCAAATCTGGAGAGCGTGCAGGCCAAGCCACAGGTCCTGCACGATCAATCTATCGATCGGGATAATGAATATTTAGCCATTGTCATGGATCTCTGCCGTAATGTGCAGAACAACCATCTAATTGAAATCATGAGTTCCTTCTCTCGTCTAACGGAACATCTTCAAAAAGATTATAAAATTCATTATTTAGAAATTGCAAAAATGTGTCCGCATTGAGGTGGTAAGAATTGAAGATCTATTAAAATATCAAATATATTATTACCAACCACACATTGCATTGAAACTCATATTGAAAATGTTGTTTATGAATTGCATGAGGATTTTCCTGCGACCAGAGATGATTATTTCTCTCATTCAAGATATCTTTTTTTGTAAAAATAGCTTCATCCGTGCAGAGAATTTATCGTGAAAATTGTGGATTACAATCAACTTTATTTAAGGGGTAACATCACTCTAGGATTTTGAAAAAAATCAATTTTTTTTTGCTTTAAATAATGCTTTAACATCATAAAAACAATATGCATTTGGTTTTATAGTAAAAAAAATTTTTTTAAAGGCTCTACCAACGATTTTTCCGCAGCGCCTCGGAGCGCCCCTTGAGCATTAACGCGTCGTGTTCGGATTCATCGCTTTTGTCCTGTTTTACCTTTCAGGATAATAAGTGGCCCTGTTATTTATAGTGCAGAAGATGCTTAGGGTTACTCAAAAGATCACCAGGGTACGCTACTGCCGAAATAAACTTGTATTTTTGAGTCAGTACAGTTGCCAATGTGACGCCAAGCATACGTATAGTTTTGATTCTTCCGTTGCTTTCTCTGTTTTCTGTATATATATTTCGTTGTTTCTGAGTGATAAACAAGATGAGTGGTAAAAGAAAAATGTATAAAGAGAAAAAAGGCACAATGGGAAGTGCTAATAATTTGAAGAGACCGAGAATTTCAAAGCGGCGATCGTTGAACCGTTACGAACTGGAGATGCCGGATCTCGAGAAGGCTGGCACATCGGCTCGCAAATTATCACAAATGGACCTTGAAGAATTTGAAGTAGAAGAAGGATTTGGGTATCGAATTTTGAACTTTTTAGCCGTTTTCTCCGCTATATCGCAAGCTGTTGTTTGTAAAAAATGCAAATCTGAAGTGACATTCACCGAATCTGCAAAGCGTGACTTGGGTTTTAAAATTGTAATTTCGTGTCAAAATTGTGAGAAAATTTATATTCCTAGTTCTCCATTTATTGAAAAGGGATACGATATTAATCGTCGAATTGTGCTTGCTATGCGGCTACTCGGAGTAGGACTAAATGGAATAATGAAATTTTGCGCGTTTATGGATCTCCCACGACCAATTTTTCAATCATTCTACGACAGAGTCGTTAAAAGGATCGCTATTGGAGCAGAGGCGGTTTGTCAGCTCAGTATGAAAACTGCAGCTCAGGAAGAAAAGAAAAAAAGTGATGAGAAAGAGAATACAGATGGTGTTACTGTATCTGGTGATGGTTCGTGGAGAAAACGGGGTTTTTCGTCACTTCTCGGATTCGTATCGCTTAGATGGCTTAGCGGCAAAGTAGTTGATGTTGTTGTAAAATCAAAATATTGTAAATCTTGTGAATTTTGGGAGAAACAAAAAGACACTGAGAAGTACAAGGAATGGATCGAAACGCATGAAAACGAATGCCAAGCTAACCACGAGGACTCCGCCGGAAAGATGGAGGTGGACGTCGTTATAGAAATGTTCCAGCACTCAAATTCTTTGCACAATTTAAAATATGCAAATTACGTGGGGGATGAAGATTCTAAAAATTTCAAAGGTATCATGGATTCAGAGCCTTATGCTGATTTGACAGTTCGTTGCATTGGCGGCTATACTCAAAATAGCAACGAGAGTTTCAATTCGACAGTTTGGTCAATGGCTCCGAAATCGACCTCCAGTGGCAAGCATGTGCTTGATACTGCCATATATATTGCTGTAGGCATATATAATGATAGCCTATCAAGTGTCATGAGGCTCATGCAAAATTTAGGCATGAAAATTGGGACAAACTGTTATAATTTCTGCGTCGAAACGGACGAGCGCCGCATCAAGTAGGAGCGATCGCTGACTGATGCTGCAAAAGAGGCCCGATTGCTATTAAAATCATCCAGGAAGGAAGAAGAAGAAGCGAGCATCAATCTGGATGGCCAAATGTATGATGCAAGCATCGTCGATTAAAGGTAAACATAAATTTCAAGCATTTTAAGTGCTCGTAAAACTTTAAACGTGTTTTTCTCGAAACCGCTTTTTTCAATCTTAGCGAACACATTACTTCAACACGGTTGCATGGATCGGTTTGAAATTTTGACAGTAGCTTCACAATTACATCCTTTATAGAAGTACGTAAGGTTTTTCGATTCGATGTAAACTTTTTATTTTATAAACAATTTACTGCTTATTTTTTAGCAAAAAATCGAATTTTTTTTTCAAAAGTGCACCGTTTCTACAAAATTTGATTAAATAAAAAATCCCTACGTACTTCTATAGCCAATAGTATATAGATTTAAAATTTTTTTGGTTTTTTGTTCTAGGTCTTATATTTCACGAGAAATTGGTTTGCTACTGGAAGCGTTTTTTAAAAAGATCATTTCGAAGATTAGCTCTCTCATCGCCATTTTGTACAAAAATAATAATAAAAAAATTTTTTTCTATACTTAAATGTATGTTGAATAAACCCTCTAAAAAAAAATTCCCATTCCTTTTATTATATTCCCAAAAAAAATTGTCACAGTTAGGCCTTTTTTTCGGCCGCTAGAGTGGTGTTACCCCTTAAATACCAATCAGAAAAAAGTCTTCTTTGTTAAAAATCTTGAGTTAATAAATGCCTGAAAATAATATGGATAACGTCCATCTACAGTGAAAGTTCTCCATATTGTAGTCGATGTAATATTTAATTCTGCTACAACGCGCTCTTCGTACATTGCTGGATGGATTACCATCAAAATGTTGTAATATGGCCGCACTCCTTTCCTCATTTCATAAAGGGGCAAGAACTCTATCAGCATGCGGCACTAAAGCAAATGAACCTGTTTCTCTAACAATAAGCCGTTGAAATGTGAATCTGAAGATAGTCTTGTATGGTAATCTTCTATTCGGAAATCACATGGAATATTCACAGGCAGCATCAGCATTCCTATTACAAAACCCATACATGAACACCATATTGGCATATTCATTATTAGAATAAATGCGAAGCATAATGATGCGTAATTCGCAAAAGCATCGAATAAATTTATAAATGTCATTGATTGAAAGTTTCTCAGTGATATGTCGAAATGGTGTTTGTGCATCGTTTTTACAATGTCAATATTGACATGTAGTTGAGGAAACAAGGTCATATTAGCAGTCATACAATAAATTTATCATTTCTATTTGTAACTTTTGATGTTAATATCTATTAAATAAAGCGTTTACAGGCATACTTTTAAAGAAAAATTTTTTCTTGTTTTGAGGTCCTAAATCCATATTTTAAGTTTAAGGATTATTCAATATTTAAAACCATTTAATCCTAAAACATCTTGTATAATAATTTTTTCAAATAACTTTTTAGCATTTTATATTGTAGCTATACTTTTGCAGTCTATATAGAAGTAAATTAATTTTTTTGCATATCATAAATTATATTCAATAATTTGAAATTGATTGGAAATAATAAAGAGTCACTAAAATATAAAAAAAAAGTTAACTAAAATATAAAAAAGTTAATTTTTTTTATTTTTATAATACAAAAAAATATATATAATTTTTTAATTTTTTCGCAATCGGTATAACCCAATATGTAAAAAAGAATTAGAACTGTTATAAACTATTATTATTAGATTTATATAACAAAATAAAAATTACTTTTTCTTTTTTTTCATTTATCACAACATATGTAAAAATTGATTGAAAGTACCAGTTATTAATCCAGATATGATAGAGATCCCGAGAGTGACTGCCAACGATAATAATTGATATCCTGCTTGTTGATGTGCTGTCCTATCGAATCCTTTTGATATCCCGTAATTGTCTCTCATTTCGCTAACTCCTGCCTCCGAACTCGGTGCTCGCGCAGGAAAGATCTGTTGGTCAATATCATTAAAGATAGTTATAAAATACAATTTAACAATTTGTGATAGGGAATATTTGGTAAAAATATTCATTGTTAATTTTAAATAATTTGCCATTAAACCACGCATATTTATACAGTATACATATTTTAATGAAAAATAAGGAGCAAAAGAATAAGGCTAGAATTAAAATGCGCCTTATCATATATATAGTATTTTTTGCATATAATATTTACTTTTTTATTTACTTTTTTATTTACTTTTTATTGACAAATATTAAGACTCCTGAATACTCACCGTGAAATTTTGAGTTAACAGTGGCGACAAAAAAATACGCAGTAAGAATAAGATTTACCATATAAGTGAAGTGTGTTACCAATTGGTAAGAAATCAATCAGTGTACAACACACATTTACACACATACTCATCCATCATCCACACACGCAAAACGACAAGAAAAATGACATTTTGACAGCCTAAATGACATGACTAAGAATTCTTGCGTGCCATTTCATTATTATTCACTTTATCCTAGTACTGTGACGTGTAACGTGTTTGTGAAACCCATAAAATGTTCCGAAAACGAAATTTAGCAAGAAATATATAGTATAAAAAACATTTTCCACTCTTTTCAACAGTTGTCAAACCATGCGTTTTCTCGCTTACTTTGATACTTATTTTAAGGCAGTTAATTAACCGTCAAGGGAAAAACTTAGTTTTCGGAATATTTTACAAGTGTGCTAAAGCGATCTGTAGTGTTATTTTTTTAAAACATCTTTTTATTTAAAAATGACACGCAAGAATTCTCAGCGTATTATTTCTCGCTTCTGACGTCACGATTTCAATATAGCTGCGGTGATTACTCAGGAGCCTTAACAATTATTAATCTATAAGATGCAATAATTAGATTATAAATATTTCTATGAATAAATGTATAATAGAAAATATATTCATAAAATTAAAATAAAAATATATGTGTGATATTATTTAATATTTATATAGATAATAAAATATAACTTTTATTTTACATACTTTCAATCGATATTTTATGAAGACAATAATGTAATAAAATTGTTTTTCTACGAAAATATTATCAATGTTATAGATTTTTATAATAAATTATTATTGATCGTAATTTATTTTATATTGTTTCTATAGCCGCTTTTGATTTGTTAATTCGATGATTGCCATATAATTTTTGTGTAATTCTACAAATAAATGTATATCGTTAAAAAGAATCATAAAAATAAATATTGTAATATATTGTCATTGACAAATAATTTTCAAATAAAGATTGCACATATTAAACAATAATCGAATTTTTTTTCATATAATTCTTTATTAGACTTAATATTATTCAAATACATTAAAAGATTTAAATTTTTGCTACATCCATATTGTTGATCCATATTAATCTTTGACAATATTAAATACATATATATAGACAAATTAAAATATAGACCGCATAAACTTAATTTACTGAAAATTAATTATTAAAATAATAAAAAGCCAAACTCGAATTAAAACAGCATTGGAACAGCTTACGAATGTAAGTTAAATTCTATAATATAAAAGTATATATAGGGTGTCCCAGGTATTTTCCGTAAAAAAAAATTATAAGTAGAGCTCGCTAGATTGAATTAAAGTCCTGCACCATTTTGCACAAAACCACATAAAATTTCGAGGTATTAAAGAAGATCGGCCAATAATTGCGCAATCTGCGTGACTAACCAGTTGATCATTCCAGCGAGAACGATTCATCGCCTACCTGAAACATGCGACTGCTCGCGATGATGAATATCGGCGAAAAACGAAGTAAAAATGATTCTTATAAACTTGTAAACACCGTATCTAAAAATGTAAAAGTTTTTTTCGAATTCTTAACATTCTTTTGAATAGTTTTAGAGTTCTACGTAAACATTTAAAATAATTTTGATGATTAAATACAAAAAAATCGAATCCAAAAATATGGTGCGTTAAAGTTCATGCACCGTAACAGATCATGAAAATTAATTATTTCTTCGAAATTGTAATTTATTTTACAATAATTCTGAAGTTTTGTACTAAATATACCAATGATTTTAACAAATTAAAAGTAAAAAATCGATTTTTGGAAACGCAAACTATAGTCTATAAGAAAAGTAATGGATCGGGATCATATTTTTGCGACGTTTTCACGGTTTTGTAAGAAATTTTAATTACTTTCTAATTAAATAATTAATTTTTAAATGAAAACATTTTTAACATATAAAAATCATTTTTTACGGCTTCTAGTCGATCTGATAAGAATTCGGAGCAGTATTTCTTGAATTTTATAAATCTTATAACTTTTTCCCTGTAAAATAATTATAATATTTTAAACAAATATTGATTTTTAAATGTTGAAAATGGTTTTTATTTGAAAAATAATTATTTGACTAGAAAGTGATCAAAATTTCTAACAAGATCGCAAAAACAGAAATATTGCAAAAATACGATCCGATCTCACTTTTTTTATACGAATTATAGTTCGAGTTATTAAAAATCGATTTTTTGCTTTTAATTTGCTAAAACTATTATATTTGATCCAGAACTGCAGAATTATTGTAAAATAAACAACAACTCCGAAGAATAATTGATTTTACATGAGTTGAAAACTTTCAATGTGGTGGAAATATGTAAGGAAAGTGCTGCCATAACATTCACATAGGTAATAAAAAGGAGGAATTAATAGGGAGGCAATGGCTTTGTCTTCCTTCCTCAACTAAGTAAGTGTTAGACTAATAATTAAATTATATAAAAAGATAAAATTTAATGAAAATAAATTTTTTGCTTACGTACGTGCGCGCTTCGCGTGTGTGCGTATGACGTCGACCGTTCACACATACATACCGAGACACCATTCCTGCCGGTGCATGTACATTTAAGAAGAATATATTTAATAGAATATATGTTTGTATGTAATTTTGCTTCGTCTTGCAAAGTACATGAAAGATATTATGTGAGTACGAAAGAATACTATCAGAGGCTCCACTTCTAGAAGAAGATATAACCTAACTTATCCTGTCTGAAGTTTGGGAAATATTTGGCTTCGCATAGAACGTTGCAAATTTATCTGGAAAGTGTGTTTATATTATTTTGTTTACATTTACTCTTTAAGTAAACGTAGACGGCAGAGAGGCTCTAAAAAAGACTAATCTAACCCAACCCGTGTCCGATGTATGAAATATATCTCTCTTCACATGGTTTATATAAGTTTGCAACTTCCTATGCGAAGCTAAGTATATCCCACGCTTCAGATACGGTTTGAGTTAGCTTATTTTTCGGAAGTGGAGCTTCCAGTAGGGAACCTATGATTCACATATGTACTTTGTAAAACGAAGGAAATTATATACAAACACTTATTAAAAGTTTAAGTAAAATAAAAAGTGCAATTTTTATACTTTATTAAATTATATTTATCTTATAGATTGTATAGGGGATATAATCTTTTGCCATAACGTTGAATGATACGGTCGGATTTCACAGTCACCTTTCTCGACGCTCCAGATCGGCTCGTCGGATCGTCAGGATTCGAGAGAAGCAAAGAATCAACTTGTGCGAACACTCCGGTTATATTAGGTATCCGGTTTAAATGTTTATTGTGTCAAAATATTTACAGTGAGTGTGTATGTATATGTGTGAATATCAGAGTGGTATGATCGTGTGTCTGTATGTGTGAAATCTAATTTTACGCAATACAAGCAAATAATGGAAATGGAAAATACTGGCGCTTACAAGCGTACGGCAGCAGAAATTACTAGTACAAGCGGTATTGAGCAGGTATACAGAACGGCATGGAAATACGTAACTTATCTCTACGATACTACTAGCGTGTACAAGCGGTATATTGCAAGTACGCGTAATGGCACGGAAACACGTAACTTAGCTTTACAGTATTACTAACGCGTATCTCGGAGATACTCGGGACGGACACGGAAATACGGATCTTAGGACTAGCGTACTCGATAGGGCTCAGTGTCAGGACGGCTCAGAGACGCCGAAGACATCCTGTTGAGCCGAGAAACACCTCGATTCCGACAGATACAGGAAACCGGAGATACCCGGTGAATCGGGAGACATATAGTCTCGGACTGATTCAGGAAATTGGAGAGACACCCGATGAATCAAAAACACCTCGACCGGAACTGATACTGGAAATCCGGAGACACCTAGTGGATTGAGAAATATCTCGACCAGGACTGATGTCAGGAAGCTGGAGACACCCGACAAGAGTCGAGAAATACCTGGACTGGAAACCAAAACCAGAAACATTCGATCAAGCTGAGAAACACCTCAGCTCGGACGAGATCTGGTCAGGATCTCACCACGATACGTTGGTCATGCCGGTTTATATACTCTGCCGAGGGTTTCCCCTACTTGTCGGATCGCTCAGGCGAGGATACGACTGCAAGAGAGATACGAATAGTCGGACGAGCGAGGCAGCATGCGCAAAGCAGGAAGAGCAAGGGAGCAAGCGAGCATATACGGTTGCAAGCGAGATAGCTAGTGCGTGTCTAGAAATCAGCGGGTAAGATAGAGAAGCAAAGCGTGTTAGGCGAAATATAGATATTTATTAGACAGTCGAAAAAGAACTAGTAATGGTGCGTAGATGCATCATTACAATGTTAAAGAAATATAAACACATAAATAGGATAATGAAAAAATGATACAAGTAAGTAGGAAATTTCAAAATAGCACATCTCAAGAACGAAGAGAGACCATCGCAAAATTCAAACGGTGTATTACTTATTAGGAATGTATCAACCCAAGGACATAAAAAATGACGAAATGAGATCAGCTGTGCAGTAAAAATCAATATCTTGACTTTTAAAAAATCGATAACATATGACAGATCGGTACGCGTGTATCTGTAGATACGGACCTGAGCGCGCAAATTTTACGCGATATCATTCGGAAGTATTAATCGCTTATAAATGAAAAAAACTATAGTAGCCTCAATATTTTTATTTTTATTAAAATTTTGACTCCATTTCATCTCTAGAATATGCTATTAAATTATTTCACGAAGGTGAGACACCCTGTATTGTAGAGGATACATTCTTAATAAGTAATACACCGTTTAAATTTTGCGATGGTCTCTTTTTGTTTTTGAGATGTGCGATTTTGAAATTCATACTTATTTGTATCATCTTTTCATTATCCTATTTATGTGTTTGATATAATGTTCTTTCCGTTATATTTTATTTTTGTATGTACAGTTTTTGTTTACATTTACTCGTCACGGTTTCACGTTATAAAGTATTTGTATATAACTTCCTTCGTTTTGCAATGTACATATGTGGACACCGTGGATTCCGCCTCTCCTTCGAGGGGCTCCACTTTCGGAAAATATAACCTAACAATCCGTGTCTGAAGTGTGGAATATACCTGGCTTCGCATAAAAAATTGCAAACTTATATAAACTCATGAACCATATGAACTATGTGAAGCAAAATATGTCAAGGTATTCCCACACTTCAGATACAGATTGGATTAGGGTAGTGTCCCTAGAAGTAAGAGTCTGGACGAGTTAAAAATTGAGCGAAAAGAATCTTCTGCGCTTTCGTTAAGTCCGAAGATTCTCTTACAAAAAGATCTTTTAACGCCTGCGGAATCTCACTCTCACAACTGTGAATCCGTGAGCACGTGGAAGTCAAACCTACCTCCTTAAGGCTTTCCCCGAAAAATGGTCTGAAAACATTCTCCAATTTCACCGCCTTAAGAAAATCAGCTCCCAACAAATAATCCTCGGAAATGTCCGCTACAAATACCGGTAGTTCGACTGAAAATTGTCCTACTTTAATTTGCACAATTACCTTAAATTTCACGGGAGCTCCCTCTCCAATAGGATATGTCACCCTAGAATTATTATTAAGAGAAAAACGTCGCTTAGACATTCTAACTAGCCCACTTTTAATCACAGAAACATCTGAGCCCGTATCAATTCTACAGGAGCATAATTGCTCATCAATAAAATCTTTAAAATAAAACATTTTTTCATTCTTAATATTAATCTCTATATTATATAAGTATTTCCTTAATTCTAATGGGGCATCTCCTCTCCTTGTCGAATCAACCTTGTTGCCCCAACCAGTTCGACTAGGCCTAGTTTCCCTTGGTTTCTTCCTTTAGAGAAGGACACTCCGCTGGAAAGTGGCCTGTCTTATCGCACTGCCAGCATTCTTTTTGTTCACTGAATCTTCTTTCCTTATTAAAATTGAATATCTTTCCTGTATCTTTTCTTTCTTTATTACCAATCTCCTCACTATTTTCTTTTTTATTTTTGTTAAAATTATTAACTTCATTTCCGCCTTTTCTGAAACTAAAATCTTTTTGTCTCTCGAAATTGCTTTCTTGAATCACTTTTATGGCTTTTGCCCTCTTAACGGCCACCTTCAAGGAAGTGATGCCTTCCAGTTGCAAGGTTCTCCTTACAAAACCGTTCGATAGAGCCGAAACAAACTGCGTACAAGCAATCTTATCGCGGACCGCATGGGGATATTCCGGGTACGTTAACTGTGACAGGTGTTCTAGGTCTGTGCCCAGAGTCGCCTCATTCTCGTTCGTTTTCTATTTCCTATTCGTGGACATAGAATAATACGACTGCGACAAATGACTCTCACCAAAACGCAATTCTAATCGCGATTTTAATTTGGCGTAATTAAGATTTTCGCCTACACATTCTAAGACCTCTTGTGCTTTTCCTCTCAAACACGAAACCAACGCGACGTTTTTCGCGACGTCGGTCCAGCAGTTAGCTCGCGCTATAAATTCAAATTGCGCGAAGAATTCCCTCAAAGGAACGGTTCCATCAAAATTATCGGGCTTTAACTTATAACCCAGCTCTATGTTTTCGGGAGTCCCCATTTCCTCGCGACTATCCGCTCTAAAATTATTGGGATTATTATTATTAAAACGACTTAGCTCGTTGTTCAACAGCCGCATTCTCTCCTTCTTATGGAGCGCAGCATCTCGTCCTGCTAACGAAGTTGCGCCTCAAAACCGGTTCGTTCCTGCAGCCGCTCGCTTCGCAACTCTTACATCTCGCGCATCGCCGTTTGAAGCGTGATCGACTCCGCCGACGGTCCGGGAGTCGTGGCTCGCATTCTCTTACGCGTGGAGGCATCCGTAGCCGAATCCTGCTGCTCGTTATTTATCGACATTTTTTTTGTTTTAATTCACGATATCACAGTCCGGTTGATCCCAGACGAACCCCTAAAATGTCGCGTCCGCGGCGACGACCTCGCGAGACATATCGAACGCGCGCGCGACACAACCAAAAACACACGCTACCGCTCGCGCACTCGCGCACTCAAAATAATAACACGGTTCTTTGTAACACAGAACTTTAATAAGCAACACAAGAACACAGGCGAAAACACTGAACGATAATTCCACGGCTCGTAAGTCGAAACGCGTCCGTATAGCTTGACAGCTATTCTTCGACTCAGCTGACTCTTGTTGTTGAAAACAATAACTTGGCAACGTGCGCGGAGACGGTCTTCTTCCGTCGACGAACTTCCCGTCAATAAAATAACGGGTGGTGAATACATCCGCAGGGACGAGAGGCGGGGACGAGACGCAACAATATATATATATATATATATATATATATATATATATATATACTATATATGCAGGGTGTCCGATTCGTGAGAGACCAAACGAAAAGTGATGATAGATTGGGTCAAACTAAAAAGAATAGTCCTCTACCATTTTGCAAAATTCGCAATAATTATTAAGTAATAAGCAAAAATGTCCCGGCGCATGAGAAGCGGTCGACTGCTTTTTGCTTATTAATTATTGCCAATCTATCATCATATGTATGCATGCATGTATGTATATATGCATACGTACATATGTATGCATGTATGTATAAGTATGTACATTTTTGCTTATTACTTAATAATTATTGCGAATTTTGCAAAATGGTAGAGGACTATTCTTCTTAGTTTGACCCAATCTATCATCACTTTTCGTTTGGTCCCTCACGAATCGGACACCCTGTACATATACATATATATATATATATATTATATATATATATATATATATATATATATAAATTTTTAATTTCATAATATAATTTTTTTATACTTTTCTCCTTACTCTCCATAAATTCAATGGCAATAATGATACAGATATAGAGATATAATAATCAAATTACACGAGGTAAATTTTACTATTCTATGTCTTAATGTAAATAGAAATTAATTAGAGAAAATCACTATACGTACACATATTAATGTCCATTTCTACCAAGTTTAACTTTAATCTTAATTTACTCTTCGTCTTCTTCTAACTGTTCCCTTAGAAAAATATAAAGAATAAGTTAAACTAAGATTAAAGTTAAGCGACGTTGATAGAAACCTATAAATAATTCTTTTCTGATAATACATACCTGATATAAAGAATAACTGTAAGAAGTTTCTGAAGCCAAATCTGCCATAAGCGCGCCAAAAAGTGCAGCAAGTATGCCTGGCATTCCATGCAAATTATGTACTCCGCAAGTATCATGTATGTGAAGTCGTTTCTGCATGATTGGCTGTAAAAAGACATAAGGAAAAATTAAATAAAATTGTAAGAAATTTGACTCGAATAATAATTATTATTATTCACGATTATAACATCAAAGAAATTAAATTTATTATGGGATCGTCCCAATTGCGCACATTCCCGATCGGACATGATGACATTTCTCGATCGGACACAGTCCCGATCGGACACAGACCCGATCGGACACATGCTTTCGCCCTGTGTTTTTAATACAAAACAAAGTCTATTATTGTACAGTTTCACATGGATTTGCAATTTTACACGCGAAAAGAGTTCAATTCACACTCCCCTTGTTTTCACTTCACAATCCACACTCCCCACAAGATCTATTATTGTACGATTTCACATAAGTTTGTGTCCAATCGGAACTGTGTCCGACCGGGTCTGTGTTCGATCGAGAAATAACGTCGTGTTCGACCGGGAATGTGCGCAATCGGGACTCACTCTTTATCTCCATTGTGAAATCTCGGATGAAAAGAGTTGAAGATATCTAAGACCTCATTGAACATAGAAGGAGAGCTGCCAAAACTATATCATACCTAATAAAATGGCAAATTGAAGGGATGATATATCTAATTGCTTTATTTTCTAAATTTTGTAGAGTGATATCAACAATGATGGAGGATAGAGAAAGCATAGAAGCTCCGAAGAAATGGAGGGACTTGCATTGTCTCCAAAAAATTTGTTACAAATATAAATTGGCAGCCGCGAATATACAGGGAGTTTCAGCTATCTCGCAACAAAGTAAAACCATAGTAGATCTCGCTAAACTGAACTAAAAAAGTGCGCCATCATGTTTCGAAAAGTCCATTCCTTTCCCATTGGCCACTTCGCCGCGCGCCGCTTTCATGTTACAGTGAGATCGCCTTCGCCACCGCGCTTTCATGTTACAGTGAGATCGCCTTCGCCACCGCGCGCTTCTAGTCACGCAGATTAACCAATCCTTTTTAATTAATATTTCGAAATTTTACATGATTTCTTGCAAAATGGTATAGGATGTTTTAGTTCAGTTTAGCGAGATCTACTTATGGTTTTACTTTGTTGTGAGATAGCTGGAACTTCCTGTATATAGCAGGTGGTTTTATGTTTGTATGCATGTTCGAATGGGTCTATATATATATCATTGATCTTATTATTCAAAACGCTGATACAAAACTGATTCACAATCTAATTAAGGCCCGGTTCCACAACTCGAGTTAATCCGAGTTTAATACGTTAAACTGGGTCCTGATTGATCCATTCACTACTTAAACTCGGATTAACTGGATTGTGGAACTGGGGCTAAATCTTCGTAGCGATTTATCGTGGTACATATTCTCGCTTTGAGATGCACATCAGCTAACATGCGGTGGAACAATGTTATTAGTTATGCAATTCTTGAAAAATTTGATCTGCAAATTTGTTTTAATCTTTTTTTAAACATTGATAAAGAAAGAATAAAGTAAAATAACGCTCCATTCTGAACAAAAATAACATCAGATATGCCCGATGTATGGTTAGGACCGGGAAGCAATAAAGTATGCCCTATTAAGAAATTCCCGACATGTGCCTGATCCGGTACGTAATAAAAAGTAATCTAATCTACATTTCTCTTATAGGTTTTAATATTAGACTATAGATGTATATGCCATATAACATCTGTGCATTGAACTGACTATATAATATACATGGGCTGAAAAGTTCCGGGATTTTTAATGAAAACAAGCGTTTTTTGGGCAAAGTTATATTTATTCCTCAACATAGTTGCCTTCGAGGGCAATACACTTGGTATAGCGATTTTCCAACAATTCGAGAAGAATGCCCTTTCTGTAGTACGAAACGTCCAAGCCTTCGAAATACGTCTCGATTTCCGCGATGACTTCCTCATTCGATCTGAATCTCTTTCCCTGGAGCCACCGCTTAAGATTTGGGAACAGATAATAGTCGCTGGGGGCCAAGTCTGGAGAATACGGTGGGTGAGCAACCAATTCGAATCGTAATTGTTCCAATTTGGCCATCGCTTTCAAGGACGTGTGTGACGGTGCGTTATCGTGATGGTACAGAACTTTTTTCTTCGCCATATGGGGCCGTTTTTTCTTTATTTCGTCGTTCAGTTTGTCCAATAACGCTGCATAATACTCTTCCGTAACTGTTCTTCCCTTCTGCAAGTAATCGATGAAGATTATGCTATGCGCATCCCAAAAAACGGAGGCCATAACCTTCCCGGCCGAGCGTTGGTCTTTTGGCCGCTTTGGTCGGCTTTCGTGGCTTCCCAGCCACTCTGCAGACTGCCTATTGGACTCAGGCGTATGGTAATGGACCCACGTTTCATCCATCGTCACAAAACGTCGAAAAAAGTCCGCTCGATTACGCTACAACAACGCCAAACCGGTCGTTGAATCATCAACGCGCTGCTGTTTTTGGTTGACGGTCAGCAAACGCGGCACCCATCGCGCCGATACCTAACTTGCAATTTGACAAATCATCTATTATTGAAGTGGTGACAAAGTATGTTAAATATCCAATAAATAAAATGAATATTAACGTTTATTATGAATACAAATGATAAGTGTTTATTCATACACATTCGCGTAAAAAGATTTCGAACAGCTCGTATAATATTTTATTCAAGATTTGAATCGTACGGTAAATATACAGGGTGTCTGATAACTTTTCGCAGTCCCGAATAAAGATAGTGTTGCGTCCGTGGCGATGATCTCGAGATATATTGAACGCGCGCACGACACAACTAAAAGCACGCGCTTCCACTCGCGCACTCGCGCACTCGAAATAATGACACGGTTCTTAAGAACACAGAACTTTAATAAGCAACACAGAAACACAAACAATATCTCAGAACGATAATACAACGGCTCATAAATAGAGACGCGACCGCTAGGCTTGATAGCTAACTCCAGACTCAAATGACGGCTGCTGTCATCAATAATTCCTTGACAACGAGATTTTCTTCCTTTTTCAAAACAGACTCGATCGGGACTTAAAGGAGGACACCACCGTAAAATTTTCAAAAAATCGATTTTTTGGAAACACTTTTAAAAAATTGTTTGAACCTTCAAAAGTACGAAGCATATTCATTTATAGCTGAAAAAAAATTTTTTTTAATGGTTTTCGAGCTATTTTTGAGGAGCGTCTTCGAGCGCTGAAAAGCGCCTTCGGTGATGCGACGCAGGTAGACGCAATTCTCGATCTTTGTGAGTTTATTATTTTTGGGGAAAGAAAACGAGGCTGATCTCAACGTGGAAGGGTAACTGTACGGAGCTGGAATCGCTTATTAAAGGTATATAAAGAATTTCTTAAGTTATAAACAATTTATTGGTACCAAAAATTTTAAACGCGTTTTTCTCAAAACCATGTTTTTCAAATCGGCACGCAGCAGAACTCAAACAATTTTCATCCGATCAACTTGAAATTTTAACTGTAGCTTCTTAGATCGATTTAACAGTCAAGTACGAGCGCTTTTTTCGATTAATTGAAAATTGTAAAAAATATATCACTTTTTATACGAAAATTATGGTCGAAAAATCGAACTTTTTATTCAAACTCGTCTCTATTTTTTTTTTAATCTTTTTTTATTTCCCTTCGTACTTGACTGCTAAAACTAATATAATTAACGAAAATATTTCACTTTTTGTTCCAGGATCAAATTTACGACAGTTCTACTGCGTGTCGCGGAGAAAGTTGGCTGAAAACCAGTAGTGCTATAGCGACTCGTGCGCCGCCATTTTGTATTTTATTAACAAATAAAAAATTTTTTTACGTACTTCAATATATGTCTAACAAAGCCTAAAAGTTCTTTTGACCATATATTTTATTCCTTTCTCAAAAAAAAATACCAAAGAAGGCAGACTCCGACCCCTGTCTCGGCATTCGCCTAAAGACCCACGGGAAAACCACAGGTCAAAAACTGTGAGTGAGGCAGCCTTCATCCCTTCTGGTAATCGTCATCCTTCTCTCTCCATCCTTCTTTTTTCCTCGTCAAATTCAAATGGAACTTTTCTGAAAAGAATTAGCAGCAGAAATCTGGACATTTTTAAAATAATTCTAAAAACTCCGGGCTCCGAAAAACTCTCTCAATCTAATCTTTGTCGTTCACGAAAAGGGCCAATCTATCAGAATGAACTATCTTACATTTATGTTTATTCGATTTCCTAATTCCACAACATCACTAAGTTTTTTAATTCTCTTATAGGGTCTCTCCCAATTACTTTGTAATTTAGGAGATTTACCTCTTTCTCTACGAGGATTATAAAACCAAACATTCTGAATAATATTAAAATTAATTTTCCTACCTCTTTGATCATATCGAATTTTAGAACAAAGAGATTGAAGATTTAAACGCTGCCTAGCGACATTATGAATGTCATTTAACTTTTTCTTTAATCCTTGAACATAACCTTTGAAAGAATTTTCCTTCCCTCTTTCCAGAGGGTTTCCTCGCAATAAATCCACTGGTAACCTTAAATCTCGTACAAAATATAGTTCCGCAAGAGAAGCTCCCATGGTCTCATTGAAGTTTTGAAGAACGATATGCTAACAAATACATGAGAACCCAATTATCCCAATCCTTCTGATCCTCTGAAATTTAGCTAAATAATTCAGAATTGTTTGATGATGACACTCAACCTGACCACCTGATTACGAATGTAGAACAGTTGTTCTAGTTTTCTTAATTCCTAAAAGACGTGTTATTCCTTGAAAAATATTCGATTCAAAATTCTTTCCCTGATCTGTGTGGATCTCTAATGGAACTCCATAATGAGAAATAACCTGTTTCACAAATAGATCCGCCTTAATATTTTTTAATGGGAAAGCCTTAAACTATTTAGTGAAACAGTCGATGACTACTAATAAATATCGATTTCCAGCTAAGGTAGTCGAAAGAGAATCAAGTATATCCATCTGTACTTTCTCGAATGGAGAACTTGAATCATAAACTTGTAAAGAAGATTTCCTTTTCTGACGGACTTTTCTTTGTTACACAGATTCTGCAGGATCGACATCATTCTTCCACATCATTTTTACAAGTAGCCCAATAAAAACGTTTCCGAATCTTCTCTAACGTTTTGATCACCTCAAAATGGCCACCAGAAGCAGAAGCATGGGCTTCTTCCATTATTTGATTGATAAAATTCTTAGGAACAATTATCTGAAAAACTTTAAATTTAAAATTCGGAGATTCCCATTTTTTAAATAAGACTCCTTCCTTTAAAATTAATGCATCCGAATAAGTCCAATAAATCTTTGCAGAAACGTCTTGTTTAACCTCTTGCCAACAGGGACGTTCCCCTAACTTCTTTCTTCACAAAAACATTGAAATAATGGAATCCTCTATTTGCCTTTTACGCCATTCTTCAAGATTATCTTCCCCAAAAATTATTCGGGCAAAAGAACTTTCTTTTAGTTTCACTTTTGCACAATAAGCACAACCTAATTCAGAACAAGAGCACCTTAATAACCCATCAGCGTTTTGATGTAGATGTACAATCTTTCGATGAACAATCTCAAATTCATACTGTTGTAATCTCTTTAACCATCGAGTCAACTGTCCCTCCAAATCCTTGAAGGACATTAATCATCTAAGAGAAATATGATCCGTCCGAATTTTGAATTTTCTTCCATAATGGTGGAAAGATTTTAATGAAGCCATAATAGCTAACACCTCTCGACGTGTGATACAATAATTCCTTTCTGCTTTATTTAAGAATCGACTGAAATAAGCGATAATTTTTTCCGTGCCATTCTAAACCTGTGACAAAACTGCTCCAACTCCATGATTTGAAGCATCTGTATCCAAAATAAATTGTCCTTGCCTCCTTGGGGAAGGATAAAATTGGCGAAAAAATAAATTTCTGTTTTAATTCCTGAAATGCTTTATGACAAGAAGAAGATCATTTGAATTTTACCTGATGTTCCATAAGTATAAATAGAGGTTTAACTATTAAGAAAAAACCTTTAATAAACTTCCTGTAATAGGAACAAAATTCCAGGAAACTTCGAAGCTGCTTTCTATTCTGGGAAACAGGCCAATTTTTCACAGCAGAGATCTTCTCAAGATCCGTAGTGATATCCCGTTTGGAGACAATATGTCTCAAATATTTTACCTTCTTACCAAACAGAGAACATTTTTGGAAATTAATTTTCAAGTTTGCCGTACGCAAACAAAGAAAAATCTTCCTAAGATTGGCCATCATTTCCTCAAATGTCTTGCTGAAAACAATGACATCGTCAAGATATACCAAACAAACTTTCGATTGAATATTCTTGTAAAACCTTTCGATAGAAAATTCTTGTAAAACCTTGTAACGGTCCATCTTTCTCGACGCTCCGGAACGGCTCATCGGATAGCCAGGATTCGAGCGAAGGGGGGGGAGAGGAAATAATTTAACTTGTGCGAACATTTAGTCTTACTACTAGATGTATGTTTATTAAATAAATGTTGTATGTACAAGAGGTGTGTGTGTGTGTGAAAGTATAAATGTCGGTGTGTGTAATGTCGCTGTGTATGTGTTCGAGTATAAATGTCGGCGTACTTGTAACTAACTAGGAAAGATACTATCCGGTATACTAAACGAAACGATAGGCCTTGCGCGGGAAAGAAATATACAACGGGCGCGCTAGAAACTAGTATCGGACGGTCACACGGATTTACTCTACGGAGAAAATATACAGCGGGAGACGGATATTCGGGACGGACAGGAAACCTAGGACTAGTTGTACCGTCGACGGGGCTGGTTTGTCAGTACGGCTTAAAATGACCGGCGACACCCCGTGCAGTCGGGCGTTTGCCTCGACTGAGACTGCGTACAGGAAAGACCCGGAGTTACCCGGTGGATCGGACGACAAGTCGTCTCAGACTGGAGCCGGAAAAACCGGAGACACCCGGTAGATCGAGGAACACCTCGACCGGGACTGGTACAGGAGCCGGAATTACTCGGCGGGAGTCGAGAGACACCTCGACCTGGAGCGATTTCAGGAAGCCGGAGACACCCGGCGGATCGAGGAACACCTCGACCTGGAGCGGTTTCAGGAAGCCGGAGACACCCGGCGGATCGAGGAACACCTCGACCTGGAGTGAGAGCCGGACCGTTTCCGGACGTCGGTTGCAACCGACCGAGTACGGGAGGCCCACACCCTGGACCGGATCGTCCATGGCTCGATAGGAGCTCCTGGTTATCGGGTACACTCGACCGGGCACGGTAGAGACCGTGCTCTGAATCAGGCAGCGAAGATAGGAGATTGGTAAGCTTCGAGCGGGATGACCGACACCGGGAGCACCCGGTCGAGCCGAGTAGCTCCTCGGCCCGGGCGAGATCTGGTCAGGACCTGGCCCCAAGGCACTGGTCGTGCCGGCTTTTATACCCGGCCGGAGATCCCCTACCTGACGAATTTCTCAGGTGGGGCATGACTGCGAAATTTAGGGAAGATTCGGACCGAGTGAGCGAGAGCGAGACAGCAAGCGCAAAGCAGCGAGAGCAAGCGAGAAAGCGCGCGTGCGAGCGAGAGAGCGTGCGAGCATGCTAGGTTGCGAGCGAGATAACAGGTATATAGCGGGAAATCAGCGGGTGCGATTAGATAAGCGCATACATAGATAGATAATAAATATATTTATTCAGCAAAAAAGATAAGTCGGAACGAGGCGCAGGCGCTTCGTTACAACCTTCTCCATTAATCTCTCAAAAGTTGCCGGACCATTACAAAGGCCAAATGGCATGACTCTAAATTGCCACAATCTATTACTTAAAATTACCGGAAAATGCTGTCTTTTCCTTGTTTTCAGAGTTGACCTTTATCTGTCAATACCCAATCTTTAAGTCCAGAACCTAACCAGAAATTCTCTGATAATTGCTCTAGAATATCTTCAATTCGAGGCAATGAATATGAATCCTTAAGCGTGACTGCATTCAGTTCCCTATAATCCACACAGAATCTAAACGAATCATCTTTCTTTTTCACCAAAACTACAGGGGAAACCCATGGACTTCGAGATTCCGCGATCACGCACCGTTGTTTCATCTCTTGATTAATGTGCTCAACCTCTTTCCTAAGGTGTAACGAGATTCTTCGAGGAGCTTGTTTTATTGATTTGGAATTCTTCACGTTAATAGAGTGCTTCAAAATTTCACAATTCTCTGCAACTAAATTTTCCGAAAATACATCCTGAAATTCTATTAGAAAAATGACAAAAATATCTCTCTGAGAAAAAGACAGATTTTTAGAATTTTCTTCGAAAAACATTTGCAAGAAATAAGGCACTCTTTTTTCAAATTCGGGAACAAGAAAATTCATTACCACTTTCTTTTTCAAATTTTCCAAATTCCGACTCGAAGATCTTGTCTAATTTCACTTTTTTAAGAAATCAGTTCCTAATATACAATCATCAGAAATACTTGCAACTAACATTGGAATTTCCAAAAGATAACCCTAACCCGAACCTCCTTCCCTAACCCGATCTCGACGTTGACTTTATATTTGACTGAAATGGTCTCTCCAGTCGGATATTTAAGAAAACAATTTTCTATTTTAAAACGTCCCTTTGGTCCTCCAATCAATCTCTCAACAGAAACATCGGAGTTCGTGTCAATTTTAAACAAACAGGTTTTCCCGTCAATAATTCCTTTATAATAAAGAAATTCTTTTTAATTTTACATATTCTAAAAAAAACATTGATTAACAATTCTTGGGGCGTCGGCTATATTAGTCGAACCTGCCCCATGAAGCTCGACTAATCCATGTTTTCTGTCAAAGACGGACATTCCAAACGGAAGTGCCACTCGGCGCCGCAATACTAACATTCTTTTTTTTAAATATTAAATTTATTCCTTTGAAATCTATTATTATTATTATTATTTAAATTTCTAATATATATAGAATTTAATACAATTAAAAAATATCACAAATGTATGTGTACATACACACACACGCGCGCGCGCGGATGTTGTAAGGGGGGAGCTTCGGCCCCCCTCCCGCAACCATTCCGCCGATAGACAAGGTGGACCTCGCTTTACAACTTACAGCATATATCCATTGTAATTGAACTTTTCGCAATGCGTTCCTTACCGGTGGGAAGGGAGGGGGGCCGAAGGCCTCCCTTGCACTCCCCCCCGTGTGTGTGTTGATTTCCACTCAAGAAGTACAGATTTAACATAAATGGTGTTCGAAAATTAAGTTCCATTTATAAAACTTCTTTTGTTAATAACTTTTTAATAAACAACGAGCGACGGCTAAAACCTCCTGCACGTTACTTAGGACAGTGACCTTGACAACATATGTTAAAGTCAAGGTCATTGGGGCTAGGTCCCCTAAACAGCAGTTTTACCAAACTAATTTACTATTTTACTAATAAATATAAATATAAATATAAATATAAACATTTTCTTTTTAAGTTAATATTAACATTTACTTTTCTTAGTTTTCTAAATTAAACCTTAATTTAGTTAATTTAATTTTCTAAATTAAATCTTATTTTATGTTTAAGTATTGATCATAATTACCGTAAGATACTTGTAGCCCAGTACGCTAATTACACCGGATAGAGCGCCAATAATCAGAGCACCCACTGGTTCGCACATCATACCTGTGTGCATTAATAAAATTAAGATTAGAGAAAGATATATTTAATTTTCAAGGAACAAGATCAATAGCATCAATAAAAAATGTTATATTTGTTTCTTGAATAAATTATGGACTGCTATAAAAAATTTTTTATAACCGTCAAAAACAATTTTGATAATTATTTACATTAACGGACACCGATACAAACATTTAATGCTAAAAATATTTGGTAATTATTTATTTATACGGACCATCTCCTGATTTCAATAATTCTTACATATGTTATCAAGATCATCACTCTGAGTAATGTTGTGAAGATTTTAGGCGGTCATTGTTTATTAAAAAGTTATAAACAAAAAATGTCTAATAATAAATAATATGTAATTTTATGACACCGTGTACAAACTATGTTGTTGTTTGACATTGTTTATCTTTCTTATATTGAAATCATATAATAGAACAATGATAAGCTTCTATGTTTTTGATATTTCTTATGACTGAAAATATTTAAGAAAAGGTGAGTTAGTACAAGACAGATTGCTGTACAATTAACATAAAGTTCTACAAGTTTCTCGCTTTAACAATAAAATATGATAAGTTATTAAACTATTTGTGCGCGAAAAATGTTACATTTGTAACTTTCTATGTAAAGTATAAAGTATATTCCGCATCATAAACACGGGTTGGGTTAGGTTATATCTTCTAAAAGTGGAACCCCCTGCAGGGGGCCGGAATACATTGTCCACGCATGTACTTTTCAAGATGAAGCAAAAGTCGCTTAATCTCCATTAAGAGTAAATTTTACTTCATCTTAGGAAATACATGCATAGGTACAATATGTTCCGCCTCCCTGCGGGGGGCTCCACTTTTCAGAAGATATAACTTAACTCGTGTTTGTGATGCGGAATATATTTCACTTTGCATAGACAGTTACAAATCTGTGTGAAATTATGCAACAATTGATTTTTCTTTCGATAAATGTAAATGAACTTATGAAAGTTCTTTTGTTTATATCTTTTTAATAAACAATGACCGCCGACTAAAACCTTCACAACATTACTCAGAGTGATGATCTTGATAACATATGTGAGACTCGCTTCGCGTGAAAAAATGTATACGTGGACACAGTCAGGATTGCGTCCTCCTAATTATTTATGTTTTTCAAAAATCGATAAAAATCTGTTTAAAAACATTCATTTGACATCTGTCAGAGATTTTCACAGTTATGGGATAAGAATTTACTATTCTTCTGTAGAAAGTATTTATTCGAAATCTATACTAAGTATTTATTCGACGTCTATACTCTACCACTGTCGTACTCGCATTGAGCGTACATGTAGAGGAACAAAAATTGATTGAATCATACAACAGTCGGTAAAGGCGCATTACATCATGTATCGAGAATTAGTGAACATATGATAAATCTAAACAAAACTGATATATATAAAATGACGATACTTCTACAACATCATTTACAGTGTTTCTACAAAAATTTATTGCAATCGAGCGTGGATCATTTTCAGAAGGTCAGCCAAATTACATATAAATATAATAATATAAATATATCTCTTATTATTTATTATTACATATAATTTATTATAATTATATAAATCTATATATAATTGCACCGATTTGATGTAGTTACATATTTATATAATTGTATACACTTGAGCCGATAAGGATTTCTAATTTAATTGTATTTAAAAATATATAATTGTATCTAATCATATATACATATGTGTATATGATTTTATATGATTTTATATGATCACTTCGTTCGTTTACCGCTTTGTGTAACGCTTCTATCTCATATTTAAGTTTAATTACGAGAATTATATAAAGCTTGCAAAAGATGACAAATATTAAAAATATTTTGCTTCAATTTAATTTCTGATACAAGTTCCTTCAGTGGAGCAACTTCAGATTTCAAATATTAAATTGATTTTATAAATCGGACAAATAAATGTTCAGTGAATAAAATTGTGAAAATAATTAATTTATTATATATTTAAGATGTAAAATTCAATATATATATATATATATATATATATATATATATATACAGGGTGTTCAAAAAGTCCCGGTACGGGGAAATAACTCGAAAAGTAAGGGTCGGACAAAGAAACTTTTCGGACAAAAGTTGTAGGGCTTACTCCAAGCTTTTATCTCGTGACCTTGAGTTTGACCTTGAGCTTGACCTTCAAGGTTATTTGAAGGTTAAAGTGTTTTTTTTAAACGGGAACTCCTATTTTTGATTGTATATTCTTATAGCTGACCTCGAAAGCTTTCCAAAACACTATAATAAAATATTTTTCCCTCAAGCATTTATCGAGTTATGAGGCTTCAAATCATTTCTTAATTTTACATAAACCGTAAAATATCTTGTAAAATATTCACTTTTCGATTATTTTACCCTAATACTTTTATGTACAAAATAATGAGAGGAATCAACTGGTGTAAAGAAAACATACAGTTGTTTTTAAGAAAAAATATGTAATTGTTAATTGCAAATTACATATTTTTTCTTCGGAACAATTATGTGTTTTTTTTTAGACCAATTGATTCCTCTCATTATTTTGTACATAAAAGTATTAAGGTAAAATAATCGAAAAGTGAATATTTTACAAGATATTTTACGGTTTATGTAAAATTAAGAAATGATTTGAAGCCTCATAACTCGATAAATGCTTGAGGGAAAAATATTTTATTATAGTGTTTTGGAAAGCTCTCGAGGTCAGCTATAAGAATATACAATCAAAAATAGGAATTCCCATTTAAAAAAAACACTTTGACCTTCAAATAACCTTGAAGGTCAAGCTCAAGGTCAAACTCAAGGTCACGAGATAAAAGCTCGGAGTAAGCCCTACAACTTTTGTCCGAAAAGTTTCTTTGTCCGACCCTTACTTTTCGAGTTATTCCCCCGTACCGGGACTTTTTGAACATGTATATATATATATATATATACATGTATATATATATATATATATATATATATATACACTTCCGTTTCCGGTGCGTTACAGTATAGCATGTAATTTATAGAAGTGATTTTTGGAGAAGAAGGTGAGAGTGGGTGGAGGAGAGAGTGGAGGTGCGAGTGTATGGATGAGAGTGAAGGGAGTTGGGAAAGGCTAGGGACAAAGGGATAAAGAAGAAAAGAAAGAGAGGTAGCAGTGACAGGCTAAGCACGGGGATATAGATAATATAGAGAGGTAGCACGCAGAGTATAGGTGGATAGACAGATAGCGCGCGGTAGTGAGTGGACTAAGCGGTTAAGCAGGAGTTAAGGAATAGAAAGAGAGGAAACTTGAATGGAGGACTACGAATAGTGCGGAATGGAGGGAATTTTGGGAGCTGGAGGAAGGAAGGGAAAGGAGTGAAAGTGTAGGTAATATAGAGGAGATGTTGAAAAGGAAGAGGGAGGAAATGGAAAGGAGCAGAGAGGAAGAGGAGGTAGCTTTTAGATCAAGCAAGAAAACATTTAGATCACCAGGAGAGGAAGGAGGAGGAGAAGAGAGGGGATTGGAAAGGGGGATTAAAAGATTAACAGACGAGTTTAGTAGAAAGATGGAGGAGGTGAAGGAAGAGGTTAAGGAGCAAGGGAGGAAATTAAGGGAGGAATTAGAGGAGATGAAGGAAGTTCTCAAGGAGCAGAGGAGGTTGTGGAAGGAAGAGATAGAGAAGATAAGAATGGAGTTTAGGGAAGAGATGGAGAAGAGGAAAAAGGAGAGGGAAGACATAAGGAAGGATATCGAAAAAATGGAAAGAAGGATAGAAAGACTGAGAAAGTGAAAGAGGAGAAAGTAAAGGAAGGAAGAGAGGAGGGAAAGGGGGAGAAGAAAGGGGAAAAGAAAAGAGTAGAGGGTAGATTAAAAGAGGTAGAGAAAGTATTAGAAAGAAATAAAAAAGAGGAAAGAAGAAAGAACATAATAATAAGGTTGGAAATAAAGGAGGGAAAAAGGAAGGAGGCAGTAGAGGAAATATTGGGAATGGTTAGGGCAAGAGCGGTGGTGAGGCAGGTAATTAGAATAGGAGGAGATAAGGAAAAGGAAAGAGAGATGGTCTTGGTTAGGTTAGAAAATGAGGAGCAGAGATGGGAGGTCCTAGGGAAGAAAGCGCAGCTAAAAGGGAGGAGGGAAAGGATAAGGAGGATTTAAGATGGGAGAAGAGAAGATTAAGGTGGAGACTGGAGAGTTTTGCGAGGATAGAGGAAAAAAAAGGGAAAAGAGTGTGGGTGGGAAATGGGAAGGTAAGAATAGATGGATATTAGTGGAGATGGGATGAGAAGGAGGAGGTGTTGAGGGACGGAAGAGGGAATGTGAGGGGAATAGAGCAGGGGAAAAGCAAGGAAGAGGAAGAAAGGGTTATAAAAGAGGAGAGAAAAAGGAAAGGAATGGAAGGATGGAGGAGGGAAGAAGGGAGGAGAAAGAGGGAGAAGAAGGTAAATGGAGTTTAGTTTTCTGGAATGTGGCCGGATTGAGAGATAAGGACAGGAATTTCTGGATGGATTTAAGGGAGTGGGACGTAATGGTGGTACTGTCAGAAACATGGGTAGATGAAAAAGGATGGGAGAACTTAAAAGAAAAGCTGCCAAGAGAATATGAATGAGGGGTGCAATTAGCGAGTAGAAAGAGCATGAGAGGAAGAGCAATGGGAGGAATGATAATGGGAATTAGAAGGAAATTAACGGAAAAGGGTGCGAATATGGAGGTTAAAGAAGAGGGGATCATAGTGGGAGAGTTAAGGCAGGGAATGGATAAATGGAGAAGAGTAGGGGTATATGCAAGTGGAGGGATAGAAAGAATGTTGCGGAAGCTGGAGCATTGGATAGGAGAAAAAGAGGAAGGAATAAAGATAATAGTGGGGGGGATTTTAATGCAAGGACAGGGAAGGAAAGAGAGGGAATGGTAGTAGGGGGGGAGAGGAATGGGTAGGAGGGCAGAGGGGAAAGAGGCAGTCAAAAGATAGGAAAATAAACGGGGAGGGAAGGAAATTGGTAGATTTTTTAGAGAAAAGAGGATG